GTGTATATTCCAGGAAAATTCGGTAAAGCACATCCTGTTCCATAACTAACGATGCCAACTTGTTCCCAACGTTCACGTTTAGTATCATACACCATGATAGGACCTCCGCTATCTCCTAAAATTAGAATAGCATAAACAATACACTAAGGAAAGTTAAAAAGTCACTCACCTTGACAAGCATCTAAAACAGACGCAAAAAAAACATTAAGTAGAAAGAGTTATCTGGAATGCATCGATACTTTACCTTGACCACCACCATTCACATTAGCGCAAAACTGTATCTCTGAATCTCTAATCGATGCATTACATATTGGATCGTCTTGATCAAGTGCAAACACGCTTACTTGTTGTAGCTCATGTGCTCTGATATTTGTAGTGATGTTTGTAATGTTGTTGAGGGTTTGATTACTGACACCCCAGCCAATAACAGCTAGTTTTGTTCCTGGTGCTGGATATTGTTCGGTTGTCAGTAGATTTCGATCAAAATCAGGTAAACAAACTTTTGATACAAATAAATCAGTCATATCTAATGGAGAGGACAGGCGCAAAATGCCAATGTCGTTTCGAAATGTGCTCGCTTCATAGAGTGGATGCATAAAGATCTCAGAAATATTTCTAATTTGACCTGCATCTGTTATATTATGTTTACCCACGGATACGGTTGCATATGTCAACATGAAACTAGTTCCCCATGGAGCTAAGCAGTGAGCAGCTGTCAATATATGCCGTGAGTCGATGATTGAACCGCCACATTGAGGGCCAAAAATGCCCACCCTCAACGATACAATCCAACCCCAACTCCCAATTTCAGCCATTTCGCCGCCAATAATTCTGGATGATAATGTGACTGGTTTGGATGAACAACCACACGGAGAGCTGGTATTACACTTGTATGTTATTGGTATGAGAGTTCTACGGATTGTTGTTGGTATTGTAGATATGTCAGCAGTACTTAGAATCACTTCTTGTGTTGTTGCTCGTATGCATTGGAATTGTTGTTGGGTTAAATATATGATTGTTAGGATAAAGAGTTGCATTGTGCTTGTTTTTCTTTATGATTTTATGAACTAGATCGATTAACTTTGATTTTGCGGAACGTTGTTTTTAATTTGTTTTTCGGAGTGGGATCGCTTTTTTTTTTGTTGTGAAAATGTATGAGCTGATTTAGAACACTCGAAAGATAATATTATTATTTGGTTTTGATGATATATATATGAAGTGGCTTAGTGTTGTTGATATATACATTTATATGTTCGGAGGTTGGCATGGGCAACGCAGTGGTTTGTTCGGATTAGTGTGTATGCTGCGTAAGATAAAAATTGTGAGTATATAATGATAAATGGTTTTGAGAACTGGCAAATAGTTTCCACGTTAAACTGGTTTTATTGTGCACAAATAGAGAAAAAATTACTGATACTTGGTTAAACGTAAAGTATGCTTCAGTTTGTATGAACAAACATTTCGGTTTAGAATATTATGTGGATTATTATATTGTGTTGATTTAATACAATAGGAAGGTAATCGGTGTAGAAGTATTGATAACGTAATAGATATTTTTCTAAGATTTATTGATCAATCTGTCAATGTTATGATATGAAGTTGTATGACGCAATTCACTTTTTTTGTTATTTGGTAGTGTTTTTCTTTGAAACGAATAAAAATTACAAATAATCATTCCTTGCTGGAAGTATAGAATTATATCTTTAAAATGTGCAAGCAGGACTGTTCCCAGCTTCTTCAATATGAGTTCAGTGTTGTACTGTAGAATGCAATGAAAAAGTTGCAGCTCGATATTTGGCCAGGAGATAGTTCTTTTACAAAATATTTTCAGATCCCTTGGGTGATTCGACAAATCTGATAAAATGCAATACTACAATTGGTAAAATTAAAAGTAGTACTATTTGGATTTTGCATTTTGTGTGATAATTTAGGTCGATTTCTTAGTTAGATGACGTTTAACCCTTTCAGGACCGGGTTAATTTTTATATAAAAAGTGCTGTTCAAAAGTTGAAGACCTTTTTTATTTTGCAATATCTCGGCTTCCCTGACAGATAGAGACTTCATCCTTTTGTCAAAAGAA